TATATCGGTGTAACTTTTTGTAATAACTTTAAGTGGACCCCAACGGTAGTCGAACGTGCACGCCAGTGCCTCGAGAAGAGTTCTCGTTTAAGATTTTGCGACTTTGATCTACAAGTAGAATCTATGAGAACCTGTCTAGATATCTATGAGGACCTGTGAGAAAAACTAAGTACAGGATACCGTGTCGACATTTTTCTTTCTGCAATTTTTACATCGTCTTGGATGGTGTAATTAAATATAGAAGAACGCGGTTAAACGTGTTCACCTTGGTATACAAATTCGGTAAAAATTCTTAAAACGTGGATCACTTCGATATTTAAAATAAACCATGTCGCTTGGTGACAAGATGGAAATTGTAAATCTATATATAAAATATATCAAGTTAAGTAGAATAATATCGTGCTTGAAATCAACGCACAGAATGGTAACCAGAGACAACGATCAAAATGGTAACACTGAATGTTGCTATCAGAGCAAGATGTATGTACTCGCACGTACAACTACTTTAAAATTCAATAGAAATTCTAAAAAGTTCCGAAGCCTGTTCGCAAGTCGATATTAAAAGGTCATCGTATTCGATTTCGTCTAACTTCCTTTCCATGAAATATTCGTAAAAGGTCAAATGTGATGGAAGTCTTCTCGGCGCACCGGCACAGAAGAATTTGTAACTGTTTTTAAGTATAAATATTGCAGTGTAAATAGATAATTTAAATATTTGTTACTCGAAAGACACATCTAGATCGCATTTTTACGTTGCGTCGTAAGATCATCGGAAATTACCCTCTACGATTTCCTCTCCGTTTCTGAAAATTTTCCCTCGAAAAAATAACATCGAAGATTGGGTGCAGGTGCTGAGTTACATTTATCGACAAGGTGTTGTAAATACTCATAGCGACGTCCCTTGAAATTTGCTTATCGTTTCTCCTCCCTGAATCATCTCCATGTCGTTCCTTCCTTCCACGCATTTCTCTCGAGTCGAACGCGACACCTTGGGCACAAGGTTCTTCGAGAAAGATGCGATCGTACACGTGTTTATAAAAGTCAGAATCTCTAGGTCTATTCTCCTCTTCGTTTATGCCAACGCGTTGCCACATTTCCACATCTACGAACAGGCACGCGATTTTCAGTTTTTCTTCGTCATGTCTCACGACACGTCACCTGTACACCTGTCTGAGGTGCGAAACAAGTAAAGAAGTCTTTTGAGATCAGGTTCACGGTGGAAACGAAATTTTCAATCGCTCAATGGTCACAGCAATACACGATGCTCTATATCACGTAGTTACATCCTCGTCGTGTATCGGGATCCAGAAATCATACGATCGAATTTTTCCGAATATAGAATCGTTTCTGTAAACGTCTAATTGGTCGTGACAAAAATTCATCGGTAATGGTAACGATATACATATAAAAATCAATCTAACAACTCTAAGGAATATCAACGTGCTACGAACATTCTAAGTACCATTTTTATTCTGTTTCACGGAACGACCACAGTACGCTTTTAGTAGGCCTAGCACACACGCGATTGGTCGAGACAGAAGCTTCTCGCGAAAGGCAAAGTTCAAGACAGAGGTAGAATCGTATCGTGAACTTCAGGTTTTTATTATCATAATTGGAATCGTGAATAATACCGTGGACGATCGAAGGAACTTTGGCAGAAAATTGTTAATTTCTTTCGAAAGAATTTCCTTGCGAATTAACGAAATAATAGAGAGTTTATTTTTTTTATTTCAAATTATTAAGATATTTTTAAAAGGGAGAGTTTATGTCTAAGAATTTTTGTATGTACAAATATGCTGAAACTGTTTTTTTAATTTATTCTATCATAATTTGAATATAAGTAATTTTAATTTATACTCTTCGTTGGTTTATCAAGGTTTTTCACCAACGTTCCCTCGACTTCGCGATACAAAAATTATTTCACGTCGAAAGTAGAAAATGTTGGACATCGGGATAAAGACGAATCTAGAATTCTTTTCCGAAAATACGGTTTAAATTTCAGTTCCTTAATTTCCTTTCCCGCAAACGTGACTGATGATTTATGCCGCGGTAAAATAAATTATATTTTCTACTAAAAATTTTGTGCCCTAGTTCTTATGCATACAAAGTGGTCCATATATCCCGACCATATAAAGTATCGCACGTAATTCTTTTTTTTACAAAAACAAGTATCATCTAGTACAATGGTAATAAATATCTTCCCAAAATTGGTTTTTTTCAAGGTACATTTTATAATCAGCTTTTCTATTTTTTTTTTCCTTTTTTTTTCCAATGAAATTGCTAACCTTTCATTGCAAATCATTATACAGATTTTTTTAGTGCAATAATTTATCGAGACGTGACTTCAAAGTGTGAGGTAGTCCACCAACAGTCACATCAGTGATCAATCACAATGATTTGAGATACCACTGGACCATTCTGTACATCTTAAGACCCAGATAACAGATATGTTTATCAAATAATATAAACATCTTGAAGAAATAAAATTGAAAGTGAAAGTTCAGGACGACAGCGAGGATTTCCAGAATTCAGATGTCTGCGAATATTCGTAAAACTACCAACGCTAGGCCAATTTCTTTTAGACTTCTAACACTAGTAGTCCTATCCTAGAATTTGCATTTGCACACACATGTGGACGTACGGTGTATAATGATTAACACATACATATATGAAGCTACGGAAGGACACAGCGTCGCGAAAAGAGGATGCTCGAGGAAGTACAATAGATCGTTTCGTACTGCCGGAAACGCAACTGAAGCGTCTAGAAGTTACTCTTAAATTGGCACGTAAAATCATACTTAACATTTCTCTCTACAATTTCCGATCGAATTTAAAAATACTACATGGATGATCCGATCCGTCGTGTTTCTATAATTAAATGTTTACCACATTCCTCAGTTGACTCTGAGTAAACTGCCGCATTTTTTAACGATGTTCAAATGTCTTTTTTCCGAGAATCTTCTTCTTCGCGCGTCTTCAAAAATTCATGGTTATTATCCTCTGTCTCATTATATGCTCGTGCGTAGAACATTCCGGCTTAGTCGCATGAGAAATATACATACAATGCGTTAACTATTCTACGTATACAACGTGTTGGTTTCTTTTTTTTTCTTTTTGTACAGAGCTTTCTTTGGTATTCGAAGAAAAGGAATTAGTCTTTCATAGCGATAACGAACTGTTTTTGACTGCGTGCAGGGTGTTCGGCTATTTAATCCATTTTCTCCCTCCACTTGGAAGAACGATAATTATTCGTCATTTTTTGCGAACCATTAGGTTCCTGATCCACTTACGTCCACGTCGTCACGTGCGAGTCAAAAATATCCCAATAGAACAAATATCGATAATATTAACATCGATCGACGAATTAAAATGGCAAAAATCAGAGAGAAACACGTCCTCTTCCTTTAAACGTGCGATAAACTATGGAGAATACTTATTCAACGTCGATATTTTGATTTTCCAGCCTCTGTTCCGATTCGTAACAAAAGGGTACGAGATGAGATTGCCATCGTAATTTTTCCAATTTTACATACGATGTTTCAAACGTCCCACGTCGATGGAGTGATTTTTTCTCCAGAGACTGTGATATCAGTGTTATGCCATCGTGGTTCCTTTTCCCCAGCGACGGATTCCTCGACCCTCGGCAATTTGCATCCGTAAGTAACTGAAGGAATGGCGAACAACGAAGCATCAACGCGATTTCCCGGCCAGCACGTTCTTCGTCCACGTAAGGGTAAAATGTCAGCGGCCGATAAAACCGTATCGTGGTCAGATAAAGGCTCGAATACCCGGCATACAAGATAGAAAAGTGCACTTTCCTCAGCAACGATCTAAGCTGAGTACACGTTACGCATTACATGTCGATAATATATATCTATATATATATATATATATAT